TGTTGGATTCCTCCATATTGTGGTGAAGGAGGTATTTTGCATGAACAAGTTGACAGTATTTTCTTTACAAAGACAAACACAAGTTTTTGTTTTAAACACAGATCAAGATCAGATTGTCGACAGTTGAAGTTGCATTCACATAGTTTCTGTAAGTTTCTAAAGACTCCAAATACTGTGTTTTCTGTCTGTGAATGCAATTCTTACTCTGTGGAGAATCTGGTCAGAGCTGTTCTGCAAGGGAAATATTTTTAGATTGTAATTCGGGGAATGTGCCTACACCAGATTTGGAACATCTCTAAGACTGTCCTCTGTTCTCCGCTTCCTCCTTTTACCCAGTATTTAGATCATATGTGGTTTCTGTGCTACTTTGAAACTCTTTTTCACAATACTTGCACCTGTTTGTTTTTTGGTAGTGGAAACAACAAACCAGATGTGGGCAGCTGCATTAGTGCATGTTGGCTACCCCGTCCTGGCCGTAGTGCCTCCTCATTCTGTGGTGACTTGGTTGCAGAGCTTCTAGGTGATGCTCCAAATTCAATTTTCCCTCGTTCTAGCAGACCTGAGGATCCAGAGAAATATATTTAAGTATATATTTTTTTATGCTTGAGAATTCCCCCTTCAGCAGTTGGGAAGAACCAAATTTTCTCTTGGACTTTGTTGTCACACTAGTATCTACAAACAGAGGTTTACAGTATTATTTTGTGTTTGCATTCTAGTATGATTAAAATCTAAAGTCAGGATCAGAAGCATAATAAATATAGGCATTGATAGGTATGTGCCATTCTCTAGAAATGAGAGGTGACGACTCCGTATTGGATCTGATTCTCGTTGCTTTCTTGAGTTGCAGCAAATCCTGATCTTGGGCAGCTGCAGTTTTGATGTCTGGGTTCCAATTTTTGTGAAAGCTCCAGTGGGGAATCAGTGGGGAATTCATGTCTTGTCAGTTAGTCAAATTCTTCCTCTGATTGCATTTTCTTCAAACTGGCTTTAGGATAATGATTAAGTAATTCTGCCTTTTTGATCCACTTGCAAAGCTAATTGGGATCATGCCTCCAATGTAATACCAATGCATACTGACAGCTTGTTACAAGTCCAGCATTTAAACTTCTTTAATATCAATTTTACTTTATTTTTTTTTTTAACTGTCTGAATACTTCTACAAGTGAAAGAGAGGAGGGTGATCCCTAAGCTCAGCCTGCTCTTGCTGATGTTGCTCAGTGTGTGGTTGGTCTTGGTCACTGCGAGACCACCAGCCCTTAGCTCAGAGCTGCCCCTGCAGCAATAGCGGATCCCCAGGCTGTGCCATTCTAGGCTGTTACACCAACCTTTGCACAAGCCTTTGCATTCGTTCTTGCTTTTCCTGGAGATTTCTGTCCGTTTATTCTGCTGCCTATTTCAGATCCAGTCTTGAGCCCTTGCTAAGACTGTTTCTTCTCGGATTCTGAAATGTTGCTTCAGCATATTTTTAATTTTATTTTAGTTTTATTTGTTTATAACTGAAAATAACAGAAAGTCTACTCTTGTATGCCTTGTGTAAGCTCGTCTTAAATCGGATTTTTTTTCTTTTTTGTTGAACTTGGCTTCAGTGCTTTTTGAGTGCTTCCCATAACTGGAACCTGCCATAAATTGTGTGAGATTAAATATTTTTCCAGCACTTAATGCCAATTTATATGAATATTTGAACTTTGGTAAAGAAAACTAAATCATTTGTGACCATATAAAAATGATATTGCTTTACTCAATAACTTTTCTGCATAAATTGCATTTATGTGGTGATAATTCAGCTCTTATTTCTGAATCATTTGCTTGTGCAGTTGGTGATAAGCAGCAAAAAGTGCATCCTGTCTCAGTGGCATGGGTAGCTCTCAGAGATGTACTCGAATCTGATTGAGGGGGGGAAACGGGCAATTTGTTTTGAAGTTATAGAATTGTTTTATTTTTTTTCTAGAATCTGGACATGACCTCAAATAGTTCTAGGGACAGACTGAAAATTCTTTAACCTTATTTTGCTAGCAGATAATCTAGTGAGAGAATGACTGCCGCCAGTGTCATGGGAAATTTGTAATTTGTTGCTAGCGTTGCTAATTTTAGATGGTCTTTCCTAGAAAGAAGTCAACTTAAAAGCAGTGTTCTGAGCAGCGGAGTAGGGCCCAGGACACTCCTGCACTCTCCAGGTCCTGCTGTGTCATCTGGCTCAGGGGTTATCACGTTGTAAAGGATTTCACAATATTCAATCTGCTTAAGCATATGCAGGCATGCATTTAATCCAGGAGAAGACAAGTTATGTTACAAATTGTGTTTGCTCTCTGGGAGTGCTACTCGCCGAGTGAGCTGGCGGTAGAGCCGCGCAGGACTCCGATATTGACTCTCTCCCTACGTTACTCTTAACTTGTGTATGTGTATATATTTATTTAACAAATTTGTATCTTCTGAATCTGTATCTTGTTTTTTAAATGGACAAGAATAATTTAAAGCAGTTATGGAAGTTCAGACGTAGCTTGGTCCTCCCGTCCCACCCAGCCTTCCGTGTTAGCTACGTAATGGGATGTAGGTCTGCCTCACTGTGGGGAAATATCAGCCTGTTCTCCACGACGCCGTGGTGTTGAGCGTGTGTATTCAGCATTGTCACACTAGTGTGTTTAACCTCCCTGCGGATGAGAAGAACATGAGGGGATTGCCACTTTTATGAGAACATCTGCGATTCATTTTAAAGACGTTTTTAGATGCAGGGTGTTTTTAATTGGAAGGCGATTGGGAATCTTATTGAAACCACATTCTCTGAAAAATACATATGAATTATCTAAAAATATTTACCTTTTAGAATGTTTTAAATGAAAATTTTTAAACACTAGGTGGTTCACTGAATTAAGCTTTCTGTGAAGATTATTTTACTTATGGAGAAACACTTTTTTTTGTATTTCATGTGGACATTATTTTTATTTTAACCTCTTTTCCTGTCAAAACAGGTAGTGCATATTTTTTCATGTTTTCTTGACATATCTTAAGGGGCAGGGAGAAGCTATTGAAACTTGTCAGTTAAAATGCAAGAAATTATTAAAAAAAAAAAAAAACCCACTAATTTCTGTGCTTTTTGTTAACTTGCACATTGACTTGCATTGCTGAGACCAAAACAAAGAAAATACTGAAGAGTTCCAGGGTCAGCAACAGTTCATTCTCCTGTTTTTTTTTTTTTTTTTAGGGAAAAAGGGGGGGGTATTAAAATGCAGTTTCACTTAATTTTGTACCATTTTGGTGACATGCTGTCAAACCAGAAGTATTATTATGTCACTTTAGTGCTCAATGTGAACTATGTTTAACAGCCTATATTAAGTATGGCTCTGCAAATTAAACCAAAATGTTAGCTTGCCTTTAATTGACTAAACAAACATGGACATCTATTTTTGCTTTTCTTCCAGAATTAGGGATTGAGATGTTTGGCAAACGTGTCTTGCTGTTGTCAGAGTCTCCAGCAAGTGCAAAAAGGGTGCAGAGGATGGGTGCAAAAAAACAAGTGTCTCTTCAACTTCAGCATATGTAGAGTGGGAAAAGTCAACTAAAAGAGGAATCAGTGTGATGAAATGGGATTTGTGCCATGTTTTGAATTGACATCATTGGTTTAGGCCTGAAGTGAAAACAAGTGTGGGGGGGTGAAAAACAGAATGTGGAGTCTGAACTTGATCCTAAATGCCTGGATCCAGCGGCATTGGGACTGGGTCTGGGGCTGCGTGTCTTGGGAAAATCTGTCCCCGTTTGGGTCAATAAATGCACGAAGTAAGATCAGTTGTATATAACCAATCTAAGGAACGGAGAATAATGAAGCTGCTGGGGTTTAATTTGTTTTTTCTCTTTGCTGGAAATAGGCCATCTGCAACTTAGATACTGAGTATGAGTTCATACGTTGCTAAAACACAATGTATTTATGGTTTGTGCTAGCGGAGAGGACCGGCTGATCTAATGGGTTGGCAGTCTGTGCTTCAGAACTTGCCCAACGTATTTCTGTAGGTCTTTGGGAAAGTCCTTAAGGATTGGATGAAAAATGCAACACAAGAGTTCCAAATAGCCGTTGACTCCTCAGCAGGACTTTGCTGCTCTTCCTCATTGGTTCCTCATAGAGCGATGCACTTTACACGAATACAGTGACCTCTTCTTACCTGGACAGAGTTGAAGATATTAAAGTAACTCATTAATTTCACCTCCCTGAGAAGCAAGGAAGGCAAATGCACACACCCCTGGGTACATGTAGCTGCACACACACATTTAGGTGGCTTTTGTTTGTTTTTTAAGTAACACACCCAACAAACTCCTGCTTTGCATGCACTCTGTTTGTCATTAAAATCAATGCAACTAGAGTAGGTAGCAAGTTGTGCCTAGTTCAGCTTTGAAATTCCTGATCTTCATGAATGAGAATGTTTAGTGTGAAGTAGCTTGAAACCTGAACCTAGCCTTTTTTTAAACCTTTTATTTCTAATTTTTGGCTTTAACTGTACTTGCATATTTAAAATATAATAATCTATAAAAATAGGCTTAGAGTTTAATTATTATAAATTGCCTTGCGTGTAATGATTAAAAATAGCACCCAGGACCTGCGGGAGTTTTCTGTGTTGTCAACAAAATAATTTTGACGTCTCTTAACTCTGCAATGTTTTAAACTTCTGGTCAATCTGATAGAAGGATGATGGGTAGTTGTTTTTTTTTTTTTTTGCTCATGTTTCACATCTTAAACTGTAAGAAGAAAATGAGTACATAGGTAAGATTTCTACAGAGAATCTATAGAGTTCTGTCTGAACTTTTAAAAGTTCAAGTTTTAGGCCTGACTGATAAAGTTATAGTTTTGTAATGCCTTATTTTATATCTATGATTTTTATGGTGGCATTAGGTGTTTTGTTTAGATTCTTGCTAGCTCTGTTCATCTCTACGTGGACGTTAGTTTATCCCTGTGTGAACACAGCTGTGCATTAAACTAAAGCATCTGATGTTTTGCCTCTCTCGTGTGCTCTCAGGTGAGTTGTGTAACCTCATAACGCTGGATGTAGCGCACAATCAGCTTGAACATCTTCCAGAGGAGATTGGAAGTTGCACGCAGATCACCAATCTGGACTTGCAGCACAATGAGCTCTTGGACCTGCCAGAAACCATAGGTACGTAAGGAGGCAGAGGAAAATAAATCTCTGTTTCAGTGCACTCAGTAAGAGGGACACATTTAGGATGAGTATTTGATTGGTAACTGTTGAATGAATAGCGTTCTGCTCTGGGGAACCTCACACTCGAGGTCAAAAGCGAGGTGTGCGTGTTGCTTCCAGGGCAGTTTCCAGATTTCTGACTGCTGTATTAAGTCTGGCTCTGGTGTGGGCTGTGGCACTGTCTGTTCATAGGAGTTACAAGAAAATCCGTCACTTCAAACTCTGGTTTAAGCCATTCTCTGATTATGTATAAATATGTACAGCTTGTCTGTCCGCTCTGTAGTGAAACGGGTCATTTTAAAGGACTACTAAGTAATACCTTGGCTGATAGTCTTCTCCATTTTTTTCTATCTAAAGACAACAGTAAAAAAAAAACTAAGAAGATAAACGTTTTAAATGAATTATTTGTTTTACACTCTTTAGCAGAAGAATTTTAAAACTTTTCTCAGAGTCTACAAAGTTGTTATGCTCTAATGAGGTAAAATACAAAGTTTTCCAGATTCATTTGGGAATAATAGACCAAAATAAACACATCCTTTCCTAGCTGGTTTCAGAACCTCTTATATGATGAGACAAGAAAAGAGAGCTTTCCAATTTAGTTAAATTTGTTTTGAACAGATAGCAGAAAAAGATGCATTCTGTGTATTGAAAAACACAGAAATAATATAATTTTAATATTAATATGATTACTATATTAATATACAAAAATAATGTAACTAATTTTAAAACACTATTATGATATTGATAATATAATTATAATTATATAATTAATATAAATATTATTTTAATTGTAATATTAATATAATTTTAAGCTCTTTGTCCGCAAAACATTGATTGGAAATAAAATGTTACCACTTGGATGATACTTAATATTAAACCTTTCATTAATATAATTTAAAGCATAGTGAAGATATGAATGAGCAGAAGAGTGAGGAACCACTGAATAACACTCCACTTTTCTTTTAACAGAAAATTTTGACTGTGGAGTGACTCTAGCTTTTTATTTAGAAAGTTTGACCCGAACGGAATTTACAGTGCTGAAGTATCCCCTGTAGCTAAATTTCCTTCCTGGGTGGATGATATTTTTAAACTCTCAAGATCTCTTTCCATCTGGAATTTGCATTTAACTTACACCATTCATAAGTGCAGCCTTATTTTTGTAACTTTTTGTCAATCTTAATGAAAGCTGTTTTAAGTAATGTTTACACGTTCTACATGTCATATTTAGGGAGGTGGTTTCATGGATGAATTTGCGGGGAAAAAATTCTAGCAAATTGATGACTGTTGATTGTTGGAGTTAATAGGCCACTATTGTTGCCTGTTGTACAGAATATTAGCATAATTTATTGAGATGTCCAATGACTTGCAGCCGTTAAACTTGTCAGAAGGTCACAAAAACCTTGCTTATGAGGTGGTGTGAGCGCCTGCTCACGGGAAAAGGGCTTGGAGAGAGGAGCGCGCAATAGTTACTTAGCCGGTTAAGTCACTTGAGATAGGAAATTACTGAAAATGCAGTCAAAACAGTTTGAGTCATCCTTTTCTTTTCTCTTTTCTTTTTTTTTTTCCATTTTTAATTTGTTGTAACTTTAGGTTGTTTTTGTTGAGTCATATTCTTTTCTAGAGAGACTCAATTTCTGCCTTTTTTTTTTTTTTTTTTTTGCTATTTTAGTTTTCCACTGCATTTTTAAGGCATTTTCATATTTTTTAAAGTTATTTATTTTTAAATCTATATCTTTGCACTGCAAATATCAAAGCTTTATAGCTGAAACAAGCCATCAAAGGCAGATGAGTAATCGTAAGAGACAATAGTGTACTGTCCTATCTTTAACTTTTCTTGTTAAGTTTTTGCACCGCTGGAAAACATCTGTTCTTTGTATTGACCAACACAAGCATTTTTGTTCAGAGATTTAAAACCAGAAGTCATTATTTGTGCCACATAAAATGTAGTTCAGAAGTGGCCAGAATTGAATTCTTAAGGGGAAAAATTTAACTCCAATTTAAATGATAATGATCAACCTACATTTATGCATGTTACAAAAAAGGCAGCCATAGCCAGTTCAGCAACATTGGTTTTATTTCTTAGTCATCGCAGCTTGGGTTCAACATTAAAGCAAGTTGTGGCTTGATTTTTAGATTACAGCTTGCTTTGTGGTTAGGATTGTTCAGCGAGAGAATTTTAGCGCTGAGGAAAACACCGGGTAAGTCGCATGCGGCCCTGGGAGCAGCGGTGGCTCCGGCTCCTTCTGAGCGCTGTGGTGGCTCTGGCTGCCCCGTGACCTTTCCAGCGCCTGCATCTTCCCGCTCTCAGCTCCCGGCTCCCTTTCCTCGGGGCCGTGTGCCTGGCCTTGGTGTCACTAGGGTTTCTGGCTCCGTTTGCACCGTGCTGGGCTGCGGCACCTCGACGCGCCAGCGCTGCCAGTGCTTCCCAGTTTGCTCCGGTGGCGAGTGCGTCGCGGGCTGGGGGCACGAGAGACGAAATGCATTTGCTCATTATCAATATTTAATGTGCTCTGAGCCTCCTCTTATGGAAAAGACTTCCCATTACTGCCGGATTGAACCCAGCAAGTCCCCTCTGTGCCAAGCTGCTTTGGAAACCACCCCCACCGGCCTTGCCCCCATCTGTCCCCTTGCCCCTGCAAGCAAAGCCCAGAAATCCTGGTGAGGGGCCACTTAAACTTACTGCTGGGCTATCTAACCACAGAGATTTCTGGACTTGCTGCAAGATTGCTAATAAAAATAAATAAAATTTAAGAAGGAGCTCAAGAGGCTTGTTTTCTAGCTGCTGCTACAGTACTGAGCTGCAAAGGAACCGTAGCAAAGGATGTCAAAGGGAGACGTGCAGGGAGTGGTAGGGAAGGGATTAGGCATCCGCGAGGATTACAGAGGTAGCAGAGCCACTATGTTTACTCTGTACAAATACCAAGTTCTCGTTGCGATTAATACTTCATAAGCTCTTTCCTACAGTAACTAATGTCAATTTGTGATGGCAGTTGTCAGGAAGTGACCTAATGCCTTGCTTTACCGATATTGGCTTGATACATTCATATCTGTATTTCTGTTGATTGAAAATTGCAAAGTACTTTGTATATTAGATCATTTCCTGTAAGAAAAATGTGCTTTGTGGAGCGGCTTAGCACACTCCAAGAGTCTCAAATGCAGAATAAAATCAAAGTGGGATCTTGATGTTTTAGTTACAATCCCCCCCCGCCCTGGCTTTTCTTTTGGGCGGGGGGTGCAGGGAGGAAATTATGAACTGTTTTTATTCAAACAATGTCTTATCTCTGTGTGCCTAGCTGCCACACTAATAAGAGGGGATATCCAAAAGATATATAAGCAGAGGTAAATAACACACTATTTATATTAAAATTAATATGTGGAGTTTTGAGACACAGAGAAAGCAAATTTTGGGTGGAGTAAAGCATTTCAGTTCGCTAGCCAGTTGGATTATAGGCTGGTTTAAAAATACTGTTCTGCAAATACCACGTTGTGAGTGTTCTCTCTTTGCAGATTTAATTAATTTTAGCATTCTGTGTAAATGTGTTTGTAATTTCTTATTGAAAAATGCAAAAGCAGTTATTTGAGAAAGAAATGCAAGAGATACAAAGTTACAACATTAAAAAAAATTCTTCATCTATTTTGTAATTGTCTAGTTTGGTGTGTTTACACGTGCAGCCTGCTTATAGCCAAGTGGGGCATATTCATGGACATTTAAGGCAACAGACATTTTAATAGGAAAAAGACTAGTCAGTTGTGAATGCTCCAAAATGATGCTTTAAAAGCACAAAAAATCACGTCACTGGACACACTTTCCAGTGTCTGACACTGTGGACATGGCTAAAAGATGGTTAGGGAAATCAGAAGGATATCCAAGCCTGGAGCCCGTGCCCTTCGCTGTGGCAGATGAGCTTCAGGCTGAAAACTGAAGCACAGCTGCGTGAGGTGAGTATTATACTGGTGAAAACTGTGACATTTTTGCAGGATGAAACGGCTGCAACCAGTTTGAACCTCAGTATTTACCTCTCAAACCACTGTTGTGCTTTTATGAGGAATAGTTGATAAAAGCCTGGTGAACTGAATATGCGGGAATAGGAATATGCAACCGATATAGCTCAGATTATACAAATTGCAGTTGAAAGCTTTACATCCTTAGAAATGTTGCCCCTGTAGAGAAGGGGAAACACTTAAAAATGGAATTTTAAGTATACCAGGCTTAACAAACGCATCTAAAAGGGATCGACTCTGGGAGAAGTTTTATTCTGGAAAACGTGCCCAAGGGGCTGGTGTCTGAGCAGAGCAGCAGCCTCGCAGGCTGCAGGGTCCTGCTCTGGCCATGTCCAGCCCGGGGCTGAAACTTCTGATTCGTGGCCCTTCTAATGGAGCCCAGCGTGTGCCAGGTTCCAGGGCACTGTTGGTGTTCTTAAAATTGAAGCAGGTGACCACGGATGCGTTCAGGACAAATGGGTGGCTCCAAAGCAAAGCTGCGAGGTGCCAGCCGCAGAGCAGGATGTGTTTCATGCAGGGCGAAGGTATCGCTTGGGTGTCAGTGTCCACGCAGGTTGCTGTAGATGCTGAAAGCCCACGGACCCACAGGGCAACCTGACAGTTTTGCAGAAGAAAAGTCGGTATCTGTTGCTGCTAAACGTAGGAGCTGCGTGTTGCTGAATGCTCCCAGGCTCTTGAGGAAGTTGCACCATGTGCTTTCCTCCTCTTAGATTTTTCTCTTGGAATGTCCTGTTGGGCATTTTTTTCCAGAGAAAAGATATTTGCCTAGATAGATCTATAGTTTGAGTGCAATTGCTCTTACTTTCCTTAGCTAGCTAAAAAATTATACGTATATGTTGATGTGTTGCATACTTTTATATGCTCGCACTATATAGCTGGGCAGACTTCAAAATTACGCACATCTATCAGTAAGAAATATTTACTATTTTTCTGCGATATACTTTCCTAAATAGTGG